GAGAAAACTAGTAGGTGAGGCAGCCTAGAGAGAGCTGCATAATCTGATAAGATAATCACTAACCACATGTGGCTATTTGAATTTAAATTAATTTAAATTGATTAAAATTTAAAATTTAGTTCCTCAATTGCACTGGGTACCTTGTAAGTGCTCAATAGCCACATGTGGCTGGCGGCCGCCATATTGGACAGTACAGATATTGAACATTTTCCTTATCACAGAAAGATGTGTTAGCACTGGTAGAATATCATTAGTAGAGACCTAAGTTAGTGGCCCACATCTTTTTAAAGTGAAATTCCCATGTGACTGTTATATACACTCATACTACAAAAAGTAGCCCTTTTACATCCCTCCCCCAACACTGTAGGAGCTCAACCAAGAAAGGTGGATGGTCCACAAAGGTGGCTGTCCCTTTGAAATCGATAGCCAAACAGTAGTGGAGCTGTGAGCCACACTGATGTTCTGGTAGTATATACTTATTTGGCTACACCAAATAGAGTAGTGAAACATCTATACCAGTTAATAAAGAGCTGCTGTGTCAGTCTTCTCCAGTGGCTCCTTCCTGTGCCCCAGAAGCCGTGGCAATTTACTTAGGATGTCCCCAACCTCCCGTTATTCAAGCAAAATGAGTTAATGCCTGCCCCTTCCCTGGGATTAGGAGGCTGTTCAGCCACCCTGTCCTTGCACTGCAAGACTCACATTGGTGGGTGCTGCCCTTGGCCTCATGGTTGGCTTGGCCTCCCGGAGGGACTGCTTTCTGCGATCCTCCCTTAAGGCTGCACCATCACGATCAGGGCCAGGTCCCACATCACAGAACCACTGGCCTCAAGAAGACCTTAAAATCATCTCATCCAACCCTCTCAATTTACTGCTGACATCAAGTCACAGAGAGGCACTCAGACAATTTGTGGATAATTCAGAGATAAAACTAAAATCTCCTTAACTCCGTACTTTTTTTTTCTATATCTTCCTATTGTCAACAGTTTCCATAACTGTAAAATGAGGATTAATATATTTATGCCTCACAAAGTTGTTAGTAAAAAGAATAATGATACCACACATTTTATGTATGTCTTAACAGTTTGCAAAAATGCTCTTATGTGCCTTCTCATTTAATCTTCACAAGAACCTGTGAATGGTATTAGGCTGAGAGGCACTGAATGACCTGCCTGAGATAACAGAGCTACTGTGAGCAGCAGAGGTCCACGGCTCTTAGAGCTTGGGAAACTGTAAACTCTTGTAAATGTAAGATAACATAACCACATGGCATTACTAGTTTTTAGCTTGTGGTATGTTGCACTTGAAGATTTCATGACATTGAAGGTGGTAACTTTATTCAAGCAATGCTTTTTTTTTTTGCTTTGATAATGTGCCAATTGCACAGACTTGGTTCAGCATTAAAACAGAAGTAGGCTGCTTCAAAGTATATTTTTAAAATGAGAGAATCCAAATTTGTAATTAGCTTTAGAAATGCTAGTTGTGCAGTTTGAGTATCTAAAGAGCTTCTGATCATTGTTTCTGTTATTACTGGTGGTTTATTTTTTTTGTATCCTCCCGACCCCAAGCAATTAGGACCTTTGGGGGAAAAAAGAAAGTCTGTTCTTTGAGGGGTCATTTCCTCTATTACCACTTTATTTTTCACACCCTATCATCTTGGTATACGTAAAAAATAAACCATATATCTGATTGCGTCAAAGACAAATCATTTAGAAGCCATTCTACCCACTTGACAGCTAATTATAGGGGAATGCTATTTAAATTCTAAAGAGAAGCCACAGAGAAGGATATGGCCCACTTCTTGATAGTCTTTTGTTTTTTGGTTTTTTATAATTTTGATAGAAACACCCCTTACTTTTAGATAAGATTGTTGGGAAGATCAATTTAAATCACTCCCAAAATAAAGTTGAAATTTTTTTGCATCTTTCTCTACCTCAGCCATTTTATAGTATATACTATATTCTGCTATGCAGAAATTGAGTTTATAGATAAGAGAAAGAGTGAAGTTATTTCATTCTATATAACAAAGAAATATCTCTTCAATTATCTTTTATTAGCTTATAAAAATTGTGGTGTTCTCTATACCAATTATCCTGTGAGGTTAAATACATATAAAGAGAAAAGAGAAGAATTATTACAAAAAGCTATAAATGGAAAGAAACGTGGGGTTGTGAGCCCTGATTTAGCATTGCTAATTTATAGTTACCTTTGGGAAGAATGTGTTTGTATGTTTGTTTTTTAAAGTGTGTATTATGTATGTATCTTCATGTCTTCTCTATGTATACCCTGTTTTGTGTCATGTAATGGACTGTCAACTCACTATTGTACTCTAAGAGATAACAGTTTCCCTCCTGTCAATATAGGACCTTCAAAGTATTTACTGTTGTCTAGATTTTCTTGGATTTTATTTATGCCATTTTCCCTACTTTGTGTAGATGCTATGGAACACCCTGAATACACACACATGTGCGTGCACACACACACATATAAAGTTTATGATTTACAGCTAGACCTGGAGTCATTGAGTCATGGAAGTGTCCTGGAGTCATTCAAAGCACTAAACTTGAATAGATCTTTGAAATTCCAAACCTCTAATTCCTCCAAACGTATGAGGGTGGAAGAGGGACTGATGAGCATGCACATACTTTCAAACTCAGCAGCCACCAGTTATTACACCAATGCACTGAGCATTAAATGAGATCATGCAAGCAAGGCACCCAGCACCAGATGACACATCGTAAGCATTCCAGAGGGCTAGCCATTATTATTAGCTCTTCTGATTGGATTTTGTCTTCACTTTTTTTCTGCTCTCTGACGGTCAGGCTGAGAAACAGCAAAATGCCCAAGAAATAGGAAAACAATAAAAGAAAGGTAAACACCAGGCCTCAGTAGTCTGGAAGCAGAATTTGTCCCCCACAGATAATCGGCAGCTTACTGTTTCTCTTCTCCTAATGGTGTGTGAATTAGTTCCGTACCCCTTCATAACTCTCTTCCAAGTGAAGACCCCATGGACAAGTGGCAAGTCCTGCATTGCCCAGATCTGACTCAGTCTGGTCTGATGAGGTTCAATTTGATAGTAAACTTACATTAACCTCATCTCTCTCTTGTTATGTGAAAAATAGTCAGCTGTTCACTATCTTCTAAGAAAAACAAAAGTAAAATCTAAGTATGGTTGTCACAGCTTAAAACTTAAGATGTGTGAGGTGCAAGTGTATCTTTTCTGTGCCTATGATAAAATGGGCAACTAAACAAATTAACCAACACTCATGCTATGGCAGGAGTTTAAATTGGCACAGCTTTTTTGGAAAGTCTTCAAGACCCTGAAAGTTCACAGGGTTTGACCCAGTAATTCCTTTTCTAGGAATCTACCTCAGAAAATATTCAGAAATTCAGACAATCTGACATTCAGTTATATCCCTCAAAGTGTTATTTGCAGTAACAAGCAAACAACAAAAAACAATATGTAATTTCCAAATATTGGAAAAATAACTATGAGTTTTTGTTTCTTCATTTGTTTGTCTTGTTCCTTTTTGTTTCCAGTTTTATATACCACATACCAGTGAAATCCTATGGTTCTCGACTTTTCCTGTCTGACTTATTTCACTTAGCATGATAATCTCAAGACCCATCCATGTTGTCACAAATGGCATTATTTCATCTTTTCTTATGGCAGAATAGTATTCCATTGTGTAAATGAAGAAACAAAAACTCATAGACAAGACAATAGTTTAGTGGTTACCAGAGGGTAAGGGGGGAGGAGGGTGGTAGATGAGGGTAAAAGGGATCAAATATGTGGTGATGGAAGGAGAACTGACTCTGGGTGGTGAACACACAATGTGATATATAGATGATGTATTACAGAATTGTACACCTGAAATCTATGTAACTTTGCTAACAATTGTCACCCCAGTAAACTTTAACTTTAAAAAATAGCTAAAAAAAAAATCCTTTTCTGTGGGGTGTAATATTACATAGACATTGAAAAGCATGTTTTTGAAAAATGTTTAATAACCTGGGAAAATGCTCACACTCATATAATATTGAATGACAAAGTAGAAACAAAACTCTGAGTATTTTTGTGTATATGATAAGAGAATACTTCTCCATAATCTCTTATCCCCAACTCTGAATCCCAAAGTTTTCAAAAATCAAAAGGGTGTGGTTTTTTTTTTTGGTAACTTCATTGGTAGAAAAACTTGACCTGAACTAATGTGAGGCTCTATTTTATCTGACTTAATAGGAATATGCATCAGTTTTGCTGCAGAAATATTTAATGTGTTTATGGAGTGCTGCTCGAGACTCTGATGGAGTATTATGTGATAAATAGTAGTTGCATCGTCATACTCCCTAAAATCTAAACAATTCAGAATTCTGAAACATATCCAGCCCAGGAATTTTATTTGTGAGGTTATCGACCTAACCAACAAAATATCATTAGTGATGTATCAGAGTGAAGGTTACAGTTGATATTTATGCTTTTCCATATTTCCCAAATGTTGTACAATAGGCATGCATTAATTTAGCATCAGATAAAAGTATGTATTATTAGTTTAAAATAAACACAATTGAGACAGAGAATCATCTCATTTCAGCCAGAATCCTTGAATTTATAATTTATTTTCCTGTGTTGTCTTGTTACTACAGCCGTTTGTGTCTTTTAAACCAAGGTGGTCTGATTTGTTGAAAGAAAACATACATGAGATGAAATAGAGAAGGAGAAACTGACTGAACACTGACCAGTCTCCAGGCTGCACTTGGGTTCAGGAGAGTGTCCTGTGAGGGAAGCTCACCTAAAGGAAGTATGGAGTAGGGCTTCCACTGGGGCATTAATGCCATGGACTGCTTTATCATGTTCTGCTTATGTGGACGGGCCAAGAGGCACAGTATGTTAGTTTTGAGGTCATAAAAGTAGGGGGCAGGAGGCAGGAGGACAGCGAGAGGGAGGGGAAACTTTAACATGCAAAGTTTACTCTGCTAATGGACACCTCTTCCTCCCCAATCAGGTGGACACTCACTAACCTGTCACAAGGGTGCCCCACAAAGCTTTGGGGTCCATGTCTGAATGGATTGCTGTAGCCTTCTCATCTCTCCCTTCACCCAGTTCCCTGTATCCTAAGACTCGAAGCCAGCACAGGACCTGGAAAAATTACATGTAAGTTTTGATTGAGTTTTCTTTTCTCAAACTAAACAATGGTAAGAATTTTCTTAGGTGATAACAAATAGCCTAAACACACATGAATGATTTTTAACAAAGTTTGAGAATTATAATTGAGGAAGGTTGCTGGGGTTAGATTTTGCATATTGGTGGTGCCTATTAACTCAGTGGTTCTTCAACTTGAACTTGCATCAGAATCATATGGAGGGCTTGTAAAAGTAAAAGCTTGCTGAGCCACATGCCCAGAATTTCTAAGTCAATACATCTGGGACCAGCTGGGAGTTTGCTTTTCTAACAGGTGCCCAGGCGATGCTGACAGAGCTCATCCAGGGACTCCACTTTGAGAATCACTGCTTTAGCTCACGTGTGACTGAAAGGAGGAATGTTAAAAGTAGACAAATTTATTAAATATTCAGTATTAAACATCACTAAATTAAGATTTTTAGTGCTTCACTTAATGCATCGACTCATCTCTCAGAAAAGAGAAGTTTAAGGTCCTCTCATCACCCGTCACATTTGAAAGTCCAGCCACATAGATGTCATTATTCTATCAGTTGTACTCCAGAATTGCTAGGACCAGTCATTCACTGCCCTTGGTTTTCAACAGGGGTGACTAACTGCACTGTTATTAGGCTAAAATGACAACTATGGGTTTTTGGCAAATGTGTTCTTCATTGTACTTTTAGATACACTCAAAAGGAAAATCTTTGTTTTCTTGGGGTGGGAAAATACATCGCTCCCTTTTAAAGTGAATCATCATATGATCCTTCCCCTCATATACTTAGATGTGACTGGATTTTACAGAACAGATTTGGAAAGGGAGGCACCTCTAATAAATAGACCAAGTCAGCAAGTCCAGGTTTTTGTGGGGTTTTAAAGTCTCAGGACTGACATAATCTGAGGATCAGGATGCTATTGTTTTAGCTTTGGAACAAGCCAGTTACCTCTCTGCTGAGGACAAGAAGAATTTATTCCATGTTAATGGAAAAAAAGTAGAAGAATTTGGCTCAGAAAATACACACTTGGATATATGTGAGCATTCATGTAAATGTACATATGTGCCTGTGAATATATATGCATTTTGTGTATTTCTAAGCTTTCATTGCAGGAGTTTTAAACAACTCTTTTTTCCCTTTTATTTCATTGAGTGGATGTGAGTGTAAAAATAGTATGAGTGATACTGTCCAGGAAATGTTTGAGAACCTTCTGGGCATTTTTAATCTGTGGATCATCCCTGTGATTTAAAACATTTTACTTGGATATGGTAAACATTATCATTCAAAGTAGCACTTAGAACTTACAGTGTTTTTATTGTTAACTCTCTAGAGTTGAGAATAATCACTGTTAATAGAGCAGTTCCCAAGGAGATACCGTGTTTCCCCATGTATAAGACGCTCTCATGTATAAGACACACCTTAGTTTTGGGCCTGAAATTGGGGAAAAAAAATGTATTACACAAAGTTATTGAACTCAAGTTTTATTCATCATAAAATTCATACAACTCCTCATCACTGTCAAAACTCCCAACCATTCGCTTGTCCTCATCTGTGTCTGATGACGAATCACTGTCTTCATATAATGCCTCGTCCTCAGTTCCATCTGTGACATTTGAAATCTATAACCACTGTGTAAGACACACCCAGTTTTTAGATGACAAATTTTTCGAAAAAAAGTGCGTCTTATACATGGGGAAATATGGTATGTAATGAAGGAGCATATCTAGTTCCTAAACATTAATTAGCAAAGCCTGAAACCCTGGAGATAGATTTAAGTGCATGTGTTTAAAATAAAAATCACAAAGTCAGAAAAATAAGACCAACAACAACAACAAAAAGTGATAGATGGCGAAAGAGTTCTATAAAGAAATGATCCAGAGCTGTCTTCTGGGAGCTTCCCAGAGGGTAACGAGGCTGGTATTAGGGCTGACAGAGTTGTGAGTGATGTAATTATCTAGTGTCACTCCACCCTCACAAACTAAAACATCTCTGTCAAGCACTAATTAGTTATTCTGCACAACATTTTTGGAAGGAAGGTTTTCAGTTTATGAAACACCTTCACCGTGAAGTGAAAGAAGAGGGCTGGATCAGATGCTTATTAATTCCCCTCCTGCTTTGGCATCTGTGAATATCCACGTTTACACATCAGGTGTTTCTGTAGGATGACCTTTTCTTTCAATTTCCAACCACAGGCCCGAGAGGGAAGAAGGCTCCTGTGACGCCTCAGGTAATCAGGGCTCCATGCTCCTGCCAGACCTGGCCTAACCTGCCTGGGTCACTTCCTGTCCCTTCAGGCGAAGCACTCAGGTCACCTAGTGCTTAGAGCAACTCTGTACAATACTGTGCATGTGTGGGGACGAGGGGTTATGGGAACCATCTGTGCTTTCCCCTCGGTGTTGCTGTGAACCTAAAATTGCGCTAACACAAAGTTTATTAATTAAAAACAGAACAATACCAAGTAGTATAATAATTCCTCAAAATATTAAACGTAGAATTACCACATGACCCAGCAGTTCTACTCCTGGGCATATACCTAAAAGTAGGTAGAAGCAGGGAGTTGAACAGATATTCGCACACCCGTGTTCATCGCATGATTATTCACAATAGTCAGAAAGTGGAACAAACCACATGGCTATCAACAGATGAATGCATACAGAAAATGTGGTATGTACAGACGATGGAATAGTATTTAGCCTTAAAAAGATGAACTTCTGACATGCTACAACATGGATGAACCTTGACAATACTAAGTGAAATAAGCCATACACAAAAGGACAGACACGGTACGGTCCCACTTCTGTGAGGTACCTTGCATAGTCACATTCCTAGTCAGAAAGTAGAATGATGGCTGCCAGGGGCTGGGATGAGAGAGGAATGGGAAGTTAGTGTTTAGTGGGTACAGCATTCACTTTGGTAAGAAAAAAAAAAGTTTTGGAGGTGGATACTGGTGATGGTTGCACAACTCTGTGAATGTACTTAATGTCACTGAGCTGTACACTGAAAAACTGCTAAAATAGTAAATGTTATGTATACTTTACCACATTAAAAAAGACTGAGTACCAGAGCTCACTTCCCTTCCAGGAATACTGTGCAGAATAACCAGCTGGCGCATGGCAGGGACGTAATAATGTGTGAAGGTGGAATAAGACTGAATGGCCATGTCTTCCTCACATCGCCTTCAGCCTTGATTACTTCTGGGCATGCTTTTGGGCAAGGGTGAGGAATCTGCAAAAGGTTCTAATTCAGTCTTAAGAATGGGTTTCCTATCAGGGGAAGGACACATTTGTCAGAAACTACCCGGGAAATTTGCCATAAACAACTGTAATCTTTACCCAAATGCCCACTACACGTATAGGAAAGCTGCTTCACGGTGATGGAGGGAACGTGTACCCACCTGTGCTCCCGCTCATCGGAAGTGTGTACTCATAAACATGTCCATAACCAGTGCACCAGCACGGCCAGGGTTATGGAGCATGTGCATAGGCACGGAACAGATCTTCATCAATGGAGATAGATACTGGAGCAGCCACCAGACGGAAGCCTAGTAAAAAATGAAAACTTTGAAAGAAAATTAATAGCAAACAATTCTCCTGCAGCAGGGTCTCAAATTATTATAATACCTGTTTTACGTACTCCAAATGAAGTATAACTTATGCCCCAATCTCTGTAGCATTGGGTATTACCATACCCGTAAATCACAGAACAATTTAGTGAGTGGCCTGCAGTCCTGTGAGGAATATGCAGTATTGAACCCAGTAAGGCAGTCCATTCGGGCCCTACATTTTGGGGATTTTGCTTTTTTACTCTGTGTTTCTAGAGAGCTGGTCTTGGAGAACGATCAGGGAATTCTCATGGGACCTACTAGCCATGTTTTCTTCGTGTTTCCTTTACTACTTTCAGGCCCTGCCTCTGGGTCTGACCAAGGGTTGTAATTTCTGCAGAGCAGTGCATAAAGGTCCATCGCTTCAAAAAGTTCAGAAACCTCTGTCTTACATCATTCCACTTTCTCCTTATTGATATGCCTGTGTGCATGCTGTATACATATGCATACTGTATGTATGTATATATGTATTTAGCTTAAGGAAAAGGTATAACCAAAAAAGAGATAAAAGAAAGCCATCAAAGTTAAGATACACAAAAATATATATAAATATATATAAATCAGTCCCCTCACTCCCACCCCAGACTTTCCGCACCTGCTTAGAAATAACATCTCCATGCTCTTCACTCAGGGATGGAGAATAGGGCAGAGCAACAAAGGTTTAGGAGTCAGTTGCCATAGGGAGCTGCTAAGATATTTAAAAAACTGAAACTAAAGATTTTTATAGAAAAGAATATCCAGGTCAGCAAGTCTCAGAGCAAAGTAAGTCTTGTTCCTCCTTGGCATCCACAGGAAGCCACTCGCTTCCTAGGCTTGAGTTGAAACAACATGAATATAGAATGGAATCAAAATTAATTCAGACTCCCCCTGAGTCTGGAGACCATAATTTTGGATGGACACACTGACACATGTTTCTCCTAGAGAAGACCAGCAAACCAACAGTTACAAGATGGAATGACATCAAGCGGAGAATACCAGCAAAGACAGCACCATGGGGGCTCTCCTTAAGTCTCACATGCTTCCCGGAATCACATGTACCTGGATTCATGTTTAGTGATGGCTTAGCTACCTGGAACCCAACTAACCAGAACCCTGAATTAACTACCCTTCCTATTGCCCCCTTCCCAACCCCTCCCACACACCCCACTCTGCTGCTTACATCCCACTTCCCTTTTTCAGAGATAAAGGTTCAGAAAATAAGATAGTTTTGGCTTAATTAGTAAAAATAGAGAATAACTGTACCCAGGAGGATATTTGTAGCTGATGACACTGACCTGCTAAATCATTGAGAATGGTTAAATGTTTTATAATTAGGAAAAGAAACTGCTTTGGAAAGATTTTCAACAAAAAGCATTTCCCAGCTGTCTGTCAATTAAACAGAACATTGAAACAACCAAACA